GTCTATAGGAACAATCAATACATCTACAAATTATTGGAGCTTTAAAAATATGTTAAATTATCTTTAAAAATAAAAATAAAAATATATAAAAAATACACAAAATAATTATATTTAAAAAATAAATAAATAAAATAAAATACCAAACTGAACCCAAATAAATCTTAAAGAAATATATACAAACCACCCCTTCCCACCCCATTTCCCTCTCCCCATTCAAAAATATCTCCCCCGCCTGAAATTCCGATCGGCGATAGCACAGCCAGAACCCCGACGGTTACTCCGAAATCTCCGGCAATCGGAGCGTACGTTGATTCGCAGCAACAACGCGCAGTATTCCTTGGAGCTATTCTCCAGGTTCTTTTACTGGCTTTCTTCTCCCATTCCTCGTCTTCGGATCTTTCGTCATTCTCTCTGTTATCAGATCTCATAAGCTCAAGAAGGCAGTCTTCTTGAAGGAATTCGGATGTGGCCGAATAATGAGAATCAGAGAGGAAACTCTCCTCCTACGTTCCAGCAGCTTCTGATCGGCAATGCGGGCAATGCTAATCAGCAGTCAACGGCGGGAACCCAAGCGGCTAACGTTGTCTCCGGTACTGGAAGGTGGAGCAGCAATGTTCCCTTGTCTTCCATCGCAACGGCGGCAATGGTCCTGCATCAGCAAACAGGTTTCCCTAATCTAACTCCCGCGTTTGCGCCGATTTCCTCTACCGTCGGATTACCTATGTCCATCGATCAGAGGAACCGGGCGTTCGAATTTTGTGACGCGAGTACGAGCTGCAGGCCAAAGAAGGCTTCCAAGCAGCCTGGCTACTCTTTCTCGCAGCAGATTCCTTCGCTAATGGGAGATTTTAACGTCGAAGTTGATGCGTTGTTAAACAATTTCGTATGTAGATTTCTATCATCTATTTTGTTTCGTTTTTTTTTTTTTCTACACTGTTCTTGGATTGAAATTTTTGTTTGATTTCTGTTGTTTCAATTCCGAAATAGATTAAGACGATTAATGATAGAGTTCAGCTATCGCAAATGAGGTACTTGAAATCGATGGTTGCTTACATCGAGCAGATGGCATCGAAGCGTATTCAAGAAAAGGAAGCCGAAGTGCAGAACGTGAATTGGAAAAATTCTGTGCTGGAGGAGAGGATTTTGAAATTGTGCTTCGACAACAATAATTTGGAAAATCGTGCCATTCAAAATGCAATATTAGTCTCCCAGCTCAAGGCGACCCTAAAACAAGCTAAGGCAGCGCCTCCGCTGGCGGGGCTTCTGCCGGCGATCGAGGGTATGGGCGATACTGACGGGACGCCATTTCCTGCTAATGACGAGCAGTCCTGCTTCAAGATCGAGGACGTGACGGCAGAGAGCAACGAGAAAGTTTACGGAAAGATGACTTGCAGGGTTTGCCGGAAGAATGAAATTTCCGTTGTCGTTCTCCATTGCCATCATCTTTGCTTGTGCATGGAATGTGAGATGAAGGTTGACCGATGTCCCATCTGTAATAGCTCCAAGGACGCCTCCATCCAAGTCATAATGCCTTGAATCGCCATAAAGAAGATTGATCCATCTACTCTTGGTTAGTAACAGGTAATAGATTCGGACGCATCAAACCGATATCTTCCTTCTTCTTTTCTTTCTTTTTGTTTGTTTGTTTCACATGGCTTACAGTATACCGTTTTTTGAATTCCGTTTTCAGTGGGTGAATGGTGATTTGTACCCTTGGACAATGGCCATGATCATATCATCTTGCATTTCACATGACTAGATCATCACCGAATATAATAATTTCTCCATAAAATCTTATTAATTTTAAATACAACAAATTTTTTTTTTTTTTAAAAAAGGATTATCACCCTATTTTGACCCATTAAGGCCAAATGACTTTAAATCCCATTCAACATAAACTAAACAATTTCAATCAAATTAGGGTGACTTAGGCCCATTTGGGTCATCCTTAATTAATTAGAGCCAAATTAAATCCAAGATCTATCAAACTGGTTTTCGCATTCATTTAGGACCTTTCCTAGCTAATAAAATCAAAATTGCCAAAATTAGACTCTTAATTAAGTCAAATTAGCCATTGATCCAGTATTGACTCAATTAAGCTCATATGAGCCAAATCCAATTAAAACTCACCCAAATTGAATCAAACTTGCCTAAATCCATTTTTTGATCATATCTTAATTGTTTAAGCCAATTTCAAGGGTTGCTATAGGGATTGCTTTCAAGTCTACCTAAATAGATTTTAAAGTTATGACATCAAGTTTTAATATAATGCAAAACATGTTGAACAATAGGGAAAAAAAAAGATTCACTCTAATTCAATGTCGTATGCATGCACACAATTACTGAAACTTAAATTCAAGATTATACATAATAATATACATATCTTTATACAAAATGTTTCCATATTTTATAAGGTAAATAATATGTATAATTTTTTTCTAAACATAACTTAGGATTATGCATAGTTATAATAATGGTTTCTATTTATTCATTTTGTTTAATGTTGTAGGCCCATAAACAAAAAGAAATTTTCTTTGAAGAAAAATATGAAATTAATAATTTTTACAATGGTTTTAGCTTTGCATTAAGTAAATTATTGAAAAGAGTAAAGAAAATTGTATAGCAACAATCATGAGCCACACCCTTACTTGTGACATAAGAGCTGAGGGACATAATTTCCCACTGTGAGGGCATGTTTGTTGAGGGGTATAGTTTACTATTGTGAGGTCATATTGAAACTTAAATTCAAGAATATACATAATTATATACATATAATTTACACAAAATCTTTTCATATTTTATAGACAAATAAATATGTATAATTTTTTCTACATATAAACAGGATTATGCACAGTTATGATAATGGTTTCTATTTATTCATTTTGTTTCATGTTTAGGCTCATTAAAAAAAAAAAAAA